GTAACAAGTCCAAACTATGGACTGATAGGTAGTGACGAACCAAACCTTAACAGGTAATACAATTAAACTGTGCAGGAAAGTAGACATGCTTGCAGTTCAAGTAAAAACTCAACAGTAAATAAATGGAGTATGATTAGTACGGAGTATAAAGCTAAGAAAATCTCTATGTATCAATGTACAGATAGCATGATCAATATTCTATGTACCTCCACTCACAAGTGCTCAACCACTCGGTACTATATATGGTCATCCAGTTGAGGAAAGATCTATCCCGGAATATATATACATCACTTACCGCAGTCATCCAGTATCGAGGAAGGCCATTCCAGCCCTATGGAGAATATCTATCTCTAGGTATAAACACTTCGGACAAGATCCATGTCCAGGGAAGCTCCATCCCTCAATATCATCAACTGCGCTCACTCGGGTGTAATGACTCTGGAGGGGCTCCTTTTAGCCCAAGTGCTATAACAAGCTAACGAAGGTATAATCAATATATCGTTGCGGCGTGCAGCTCGATCCCATACTGTCACTCAATATCAGGCTCTCGACATCACTTAATCATCACTCTCCAGTCTTACACACACGGGCTCAAAATGTCATGATACTAGCCCGAACAATGATACGATGTGTCAAATAACAATAATTGAGACTGAGGCATGATATAATATGCATGAACAGGACCGAGTACAGAATATCAATGAAGCTAATGATATGACAGTAAGAAACGACCTCTCGGGTCTCAACAGTATTTGCGTAGAGCCTTAACATGATAATTAGCATGAATCTATAGCTCATTAACTTAATCACATAATTATAACACAGATATCAGCAAGAAAAAGTCACTAAGTGGTGTCATGGAATGATTCAGGCCGCAATTTTTACGGTGCACGCCCACACGCCCGTCACTTGGCATTTGCATCACTTCAATAGTAATCATAGAAAATATAGTTCGGGGTTTCGAACCCTCAGAACTAAGTTTGGAAGCATTACTTACCTCAAATCAAGCCAAGCTCTAGCCCGTGACGCCCTTACCTCTCGATTCGGCCTCCAAATTCCCCGAATCTAACCAAAGTTAGTATATATCATTAATACACGCTAAAGGAACAAAGCCCAAGAGAAAATAATCAAATTAACTCAAAATCCCAAAATTGGCCAAACCCGACCCCTGGGCCCATGTCTTGGAATTCGATAAAACTCACATCACAAGAATCTTTATCCTCCCACGAGTCTATACATGCCAAGAACATCAAAATCGAACCTCAAATGGCCCCTCAAATTACCACTTAAAGCTCTCCAAAACTCAAGCCCTAACCTTCAATTTTTACCCTTAAATTTCACAAATTTCATGTCTAATCAGTTAGAAATCACCATAAAATCGAGTATTGAGCTCAAAAATATTACCTCCAAGTGTTACCCTTGAATCCCTCTTCAATTCCTCTCAAAAAGCTCCAAGTCCGAACTCAAATGGTGGAAAAATGACCAAATTTCGTAAAGGCAAGAATTTCAATGTTCTGCCCAGGGGTTCTGCATTTGCGGTCCAATACCGCACCTGCGACAGCTGCACCTGCGAGAGCCGCACCTGTAACAAGAAGTCTGCATCTGCGGAATTTCACTTAAAGTCCCCATACGCACCTGCGATCTACGGTCCTGCATGTGCGATTAACCTTCCGCATCTGCGATACATCCCCAGCCAACTGGCCTTCGCTCCTGCGATCAAAGTGCCGTTTCTGCAGCTCGCACCTACAGTCCCTAATCCGCAGGTGCGGTTATGACAGAAACACAGCAGTTTCAACTGCAAACTGTTTTTTCCAATTCTCCGATAACCCGTTGAAATCATCACGAGGCCCTCTGGACCTCAACCAAACCTGCCAACAAGTCACATATCACCATTCAAACTCATATCAACCCTCGGAACACTCAAAGCAACGCCAAAATACCAAATTCCAAAACTTCCGCATTCCGCCATCGATCAAAAAGTCTATCAAACCTCATCCGAATGACCTGAAATTTTGCACACATGTCTCAATTGACACAACGGACCTACTCCAATTTTCAGAATTCCAATACGACCCCGATATCAAAATTTTCACTACCAACCGGAAAACGCCAAAACTCCAATTTCGCCAATTCAAGCCTAAATCTACCACGGACCTCCAAAATACATTCCGATCATGTTCCTAAGTCCCAAATCACCTCACGAAGCTATCCAAACCATAAAAACCAAGTTCCGATATCTTTACTCACAAGTCAACTTCTTGTTGACTTTTTCAACTAAGGCTTCCCAAAAAGAGACTAAGTGTCTCATTTCTCTAAAAATCACTCCGAACCCAATCAACCAATCTAATACGATGAAATATAGTTGAACAATACATAAAGAAGTAAAAATGGGGAAAACGGAGCAGTAACCCATGAAACAACCGGTTGGGTCGTTACATCAACATTCAGTCAACTATTTCAACTTAAGCTTTAAATCTTGGAACTAAGTGTTCCAACTCATTCCGAAATTTCCCCAACAAGTCACATAATCACAATTAAGCATAAAATATTTAGTAAATAGGGGAACGGGGCTGTAATACTTAAAATGATCGGTCGGGTCGTTACAAATTGATACGGAGTTTGGTTAGTTCTTCTATGTGGTATTCTATTTTGTAAGTGACATGCAAATAAAATAGCTTCACCCCACAAATTATCAGGAGCATTAGAACTAACTAACATAGAGTTCATTATCTCTTTTAATATTTTATTTTTCCTTTCAGCTACTCCATTTGACTCTGGTGATTAAGGCGGAGTTACTTCATGAATAATTCCATTCTTTTCATAAAAATCATTTAAAGATAAATATTTTACACCTCTATCAGATCTAGTTCTCTTGATTTTTCTACTAAGTTGATTCTCAACCTCAGTTTTATAAGAAATAAAAACATTAAAAGAATCATCTTTGTTTCTAAGTAAATACAACTAAGTATATCTAGAAAAATCATCAATAAAAGTCACATAATATCTTTTACCACCTCTAGCCATAGTTTGCTTTAAATCGCCTAATTAGTGTGAATCAAGTATAATAATTTAGTTTCTCTATTTACAGAAAAATAAGTCTTTCTAGTACTTTTAGCTTCAACACATATTTCACACTTGTCAATATTATTTGAGTCTAAATCAGATATTAATCCTAGTGATTGTATATTTTTTATATACTCGACATTAACATGTCCTAGTCTAGCATACTATAAAGAAACAGACTCAACCATATAAGCAGAAGAAGATGTATTTTCATTGCTAGTATCAGAAATATTAAGCATAAATAAACCATGGTTACAATATCCATTGCCTACAAAAATATTATTTTTGGTCAATACGACCTCATCATTCTCGAAATAAGTCTTCACCCAACTTTTTCTAATACATAGAAACCAAATTGGTTTGTATATTAGGAACATACAATACATCACTCAATGCTAAAGTTTTACCAGATGTGAGTTTGAGAAGAATTTTTTCCTTTCCCAAGAATGCGAGTTGTCCTTGAGTCACCAAGATAAATAGTTTCTTCTCCATCCTTAATGCGGATGTAAGACAAAAATTTATTTTTGTTTGCACAAATATGCCTAGTAGCACCAGAGTTTATCACTCAATCTCTCACATTGGCCACACTATTTATTTGTAAAATGACAGCAACAACTATATTATTCACTTTAGTCAAATTTAATTTTGACTTAACGAGATTATCATTTATCCCAGCTCTTCTCTTGCATTGAGCTGCATTTTTCTTGAAGGTTTTAATATTAGCATTGGATATGTAACTATGTCTATTCACATAGCTATGTTTTGACATTAGAGTCTATCAAAGTTGTGCATGCAATAATGTATTTTCAATACCATGGATATCTGGCAAGATAGCTAGAACATTAGCAATGGAGACAACACCAAAATTGGTAGCACCATCAAAAAATTTCGTAGTAGTATTTCTTGCCATAGTTTTTTAAATTGTTGGAAAATGACACAGGATAAAAAATAATAATAATGATGATAATAATATTGCAATAATATTAATTGTAAGCAGATGCACGAATTGGCTTGAGTCGTGCTGGGCACTGTCTTAAGAAACTATTTCAACAATGTGAAATGTTTTCCCAGGATTAAACAAGCATATCTCTATTTATTTAGAGGATACAGGAATCAGTAGAATATTAAGATTACAAACTCAGTTATTTGAAAGAGGAGAACAAAAGAAATTATACTACTAATCTTTGAGAAGGAAAAATAACAAAGGAAAGCTGATGAAGACCGAAATTAGAAGGAAAGAAGCAGAAGGATTTCTTTGTCTTACTAATGATAGTTTTCTTGTCTAATTGAGAGCCTATTTATAGGCACATGTGCATGGATCCAACATGCTGAGGAAAAAGAACGTGGCAAATGCAATTGCCACTTTTCAAAAGCATTTTGTCATTTATCTCATAACTTCTAGAAGGGCTGTCACATGGTTTTGATTAAGACATTTGTCAACAAAATACTTTAAAATATTGTCACAGATACCACAGGTGAATTCCACAAAATACAGAAGAGATATATAAGTAAACAAGCTTTAGGCCCTAATAATGTGTTTTAAAGATGTGTGGGTCTGTGTCCAAAGTAGACAATATCACTAGTGAACTGGGTTGTTACATATGGTATCAGAGCCACTCTGCATGCAACCTTGAACGGTGGTGGGACAAACCTTAGCGAGGAAGCTGAATCCCGTATGTGACCCCTAAGGCAGCGAATCCTACATCGACAAAATACGGAAAAGATGATGATTATATAAGTAAACAAATCAGTAAACCCTAGCGACACGTTTTGAAATCATACGGGCCTAGCCCCATGACAAACATTTACTAATGGGCTGGGCGGTTAAAATCCAATAATATGATTGTAAATAAAATTCTTTCATTCCAAGATATGAGCATGTATATAGCAATTTTATATACTGAATGACTAATGTTCCATTTCTTGTGTATTTGCAGGGAATAACGGGAGCATTTATGAAGAACTGCACCTTGAACTATTCATCATACAGAAATATCTTCCCAATATGGGCTCTTGGTGAATATCGCAAACGTTTTCTAATGAAACTGAAGTAGAATCCTTGGACTTCATTTTCATTTAATGAGTCTTGAGCCTAGGGTCTATTGATGGGGTAAGATCTGCGTACACCCTATCCATCGTATCCTTCTCAGACGTCACTTATGGGACCACACTCGGTATGTTATTGTTGTTGAAGTATGTACACTAAATATATGTGTTTCTACTTATTTTTGTGAAAAAGAGGAGGCCAAGCAAGTGGCATACGTGTTGTAATCCTCCATTTTGTGATCTAAATTGCAAACATATTCGCAACATTCCTAATATAATAGAAAGTTGCAATTGTCGTTGCAAAGAGGAGCGATTTATTCTTAAGCAAAGTAAAGGAAAATTTGGCGTTTGCTTGTTGCTTGCCTCTTTCAAAGCCTGAGGCTTTTAGCCTCTTATTTGGTCCTCTTATATACCGGCATACCGCATATGCAATATTGCTATTTTGAGGCGTAAGCTATCACTTTTATGTCAATATGAACAAAATCACAAAGCAAAAAAAACTCGGCTCTGATAGTATTGCTTTTTCTTTTTAAACATAACCAAGCCTTGGGAGGTACCAGGCACCCGATGAAATTATTCGAGATGCGCAGAGATGTGCCGCCCCCGAACACCACGGTTAGTCGGTTACCCTAAAAAATAGGGACATAGCAACAAGGACACCAATATTTTGTACTGCAGTAGGTCTGAGTCAGTATTCAGAATATAATTCAAAACCAGTGCCCTAAATTTTTCTGCAAATCCAAGGCCTTTTTTCTCCTTACAATCAATGTTTGACATTTCTTTCTCAATCTAGCTTACTTATTTCAGGTGTACAAAATTGTAAAGCTAGCTAATACACAACATATCTCATGAATTACAACTTGACCTAAAGCAGTCACTCCACTAACTCCAGGTCCAATAGAAGTAGTAAGCTTTACGACTACCCCAGCAGCAACAGTTGAAGCGGCCGAAATCGGTGGATAAGTTCCTCATACAGCCAGTACGCAACGTTTTTTCATTACCTAGAATTGCAAGTCCCAATAGAGTTTTGAGAAACTCCTTTTTTTTCAAGGAAAGAGTAAGAAAGGAACCTCAGAAGCACAAAATCTATGCTACAGACATAGTCATAATCTGACGAGCAAGACCAGGATCTTGTTGTAAGAGCTCCCTAAGGTTATTCTCCACCTCCGCCAGATGCTTTTCTAGATACTCTTTAGAAGTCTGCAAAGATGCAATTGCGGTTTCACTATCCTTGAGTTTTTGGTCTTGCTCATNCAGATACTCTTTAGAAGTCTGTCCAACAAGCAATATCTGTTAACATACTGACCCTTCACCGACATATTCAGTTAATATAAGTTTCATACAAACAGCAAAAGGAAAACTATAATTATTCATAGCAGTAATTACTAGAAAAAAAAAAAGATATCAGAAAATAGAGAGCTCTTACCTTCTTAAGTTAAAAGATCATAAAATATGCAGGACTGCATTTGGTACGAAAGAAAAGGCTTCCATGGAGAAATTTTTGTGAAAATGTTCCGTTTTAGGGAATCACTTTTTAGTGTTTGGTTGAATATAAAAGTTGTTAACATGTGGCAATCATAAAATGCGTAGGATAAGACACAAGAATAATGTTATAATGATATTTTTTACTATTAAAGATTGACACAATCTAAGTGTTGATCGAGGCAAATGATATGGAGTGGAATTTGAGATATTATTAAAGAAAAATGACGTTTGTCCACCAGAGATGGAAGTTATCTTATCCCTTTTTAAGGTAACCAAATACTTAAAAATGTTTTCCTTGTGCTCCTTTAATTTCTTCTTGCTTTTCTTTTATACACTAAACAGGCCTTTTATTTTGTACACTAAATAGAGCAGAATGAATGTTGAGGATTCATAATAGCAAACTCAAACTAGCTTGGAATTTGGGTAGCTGTCGTTGTGGTTTTGATGTAACAAATAAAAGTAAGGTAGCAACTAAAGTTCGTTCAACAGCACGGCAGCATTTATTTCTACCAAGGGTCAATATGCTAAACATTGAGACTGAAATCAGCGAATAGTAGGTAAATGAAAAGTAAGGAAAATGGCAAGCTACAGAAAAAACAGGAAGTTCCTATCTGCAGAGCTAAAGGAAGAAATTGCTGTCCAGTAATGAGGTTTAAGCTATAGAGTAGAGTGGATCTTTTCTGTTTCCATTTTTCCCCAAATGATTTAGCTCAGACTTATAATCGGTGGATGCTTTCAGAGCAGAGTCCTCTTTGGTAAAGTAAGTGAATGACTGAACTCCAAACACCATAGGAACACTTTTTTATTTGATGAGTTCACAGCAAAACTTCAAAACTTATTTAACTAATAATTTCAGAACAAAGCATTAATCTTAGGCCTAAGATCAAAATTGAGACTTGAAACTAAATTACTTTATCAGCTTGAGACATCTCTATTTAATTACCATAATAATTCTGTGACACAAATGCAAACTATAACTATGAAGAAGTCAGGCCTGGTATGACAATGAGAAACAATATTCTAAAATGAGAAAGGAATTTGAGAATTCACCTGCAAAGATGCAATTGCGGTTTCACTATCCTTGAGTTTTTGCTCTTGCTCATCCATTAACACAGTCTTTGGCTCTAAGATAAACCTGAAAATAAAAGATTGTTCAAAGTGAGATAAATATAAAAGCAGCACAGAAATTTGAGAAATCCAGAATAATAATGTATATGATCCACATCCCCTTGTCCTTTTTCAGATAACAGCAGGACATGATAGACTTCAGTTCAAAACTTACGTTCTTCCTGCAACAAAAAGACAAAAGACAATGGAACACGACAAAGTTAGAACTCTGGTCAAAATTATTTAAGTGAAATCTAAAAATTAACAAATCATTCAATCAATCAATCGGCTTTTTCTCAATTCCGGAATGGTTTGGGTCAACTACATGAAAACTTATATATTTACTCCACTGTATCCGAGGCCACATAATTCCAACACTAAATAATTGTTCTTTCAGGTATTCATCTAAACTCTGTCTTTTCAGGCAAATGTGAATTCTTTAAGGGTGTGTTTGGTATGAAGGAAAATGTTTTCCGGGAAAATGAGTAGTTTTATCACTTATTTTTCCTTGTTTGGTTGGTGAGTGAAAAACTTTTTCGGAAAATATTTTCTAGTGTTTGGTTAGAGAGTATAAAATTTTTGTTAGAAAGATAATTTTTATGCTACTCTCCTCCCCTCCCTTCCCCAAAATCCCCATGTTTCCTGTGAGTAGTTTTATCACCTATTTTTCCTTGTTTGGTTGGTGAGTGAAAAACTTTTCCGAAAAATATTTCTAGTGTTTGGTTAGAGAGTATAAAATTTTTGTTAGAAAGATAATTTTTATGCTACTCTC